GAGCGGCCCGCCCCGCCGGCCTAGAGCGCCGCCTCATGACTATGCAGCTAGAGGCGTGGTCGGAGAGCACCACGCCCCCTCCGCTCGCTCTCGGGCCGGGAGGGGTTTGCGGAGCGGGCTCGGGTGGGCGGAACCATCCGCCGCAGGCCGGCGGGGAGGGCGGGCCGAACCATCGCGTCAGGAGGCGCGGGCCACCCTGGGCGCGACCTGTGGCAGGTGGGCCCTGGCCGCCGGGTGCCCTGGGAGCCAGTCCGCGCGGTCGCCCGGCACCCTGCGCGCGCCCCTTTGTGAGCCTTCTCCGGGCGGGTGCGCACGTGTCCCCGCTGCCCCCGGGGCGAGGGCTCCAGGGACCGCGGCAGGCTGGTCTCTTGCTCCCGCGCTCTGCCTTCAGCACAGCTGTCCCCCCGGGAGACCCACGCAGGCCCTGTATGCGGGCAACGTGGCCTCCCTTAGGGGGACACGGAGACTTGTCTGCGTTCCGGGGTGGGCTTTCAGAGACTGTTGCGGTGCGCCCACAGGTCCCGCGGTGCCCTTGCCCTCCAAGACGCCGAGGGAAGGGCGAGCCTTCCCGGTACAGAGGCTGGGGATTTGTCTGCTGGCTGTTCCTTTTTTGCAGAAACATTCCCACCGCGTGGGATCGCTGTGCCGAGTCTATACACAGCTCGGAGCAGGGCCAGGATGGGAACCTGCGGCTGCAGGGTGCCTCGGCCAGGTCCAGCCTTGAGCAGCTCGGAGGACATCCCTCCTAATCGCTCAGGACTTCACAAACACCGTGAACCACAGGCGAACTGCGATGTGGCTCTGCGGAACGGCGTTTTACAGAGAGAAGCTTGTAGCGAGGCCGGCGCGGGGGAGGGGGAGGGTGGGGAGGCCAGTGAGGCTCTGACTGGGGTGGGAAGTTGGAGGGGACCCCGAAAGTCCAGTGATCCAGACCAGCTACGGAATGTGCAGGGCCCAGTGCAAAATGGAAATGCAAGTTCCCTTGTTCAACAGTTCCTGAGATTTGAAGACAGGGACAGTACAACTCTGAACCGACTGTGTGGCTGTGCTTGTCCCCAAGCCATCCAACTGTCCCTGGCCTCTCTGCTCCCCCTAGTCCCAGTCCTGGTCTGTGTTTTTGCTGTTTTTTTTTTTTTTTTTAAGATTTTATTTATTTATTTGACAGAGACACAGCGAGAGAGGGAACACAAGCAGGGGGAGGG